TGTGTTCAGGAACTACAAAAGGAAATATGTATTTAGTACCAACACACTGCAGGCCAGGTTTTTACACAGTGCTACATGGATATGATACTAATGATTACAATTTTTCAAAATTACAATATAAAAAAAAGGCTTATGAAGAGTTATCTTTATAACTAAAAGAAAGGTCTAGTACCAGCTGTATTTTAACCATGTGCTAGCCTAATCACAGTGGCAAAACTCCTCTCTTAATGGAAGGAAAGAATAAACTTCAGCACAAACTTGTGAGCTGTGTGGTCCAGGGCTGTTTATAATACTTCCAAATCCTGAGACTGTGTCTGTAAATCCCAGGTTTCTCATAGCTAACTTCATTTTGTGGCTTCAACTCTTGTATGTTAGGGTAATTTCTTTCATATCTCAAGCTACCCTGTTACTCCACAGCGGAAACATTTGAACATTTAAAAGTACTGTTTTCAAGATTAGCAAGATTAGCAGCACATGCTGCTGTAAGATGGCCTGATAAAACACATTTTTGTTTTCCATCTGCAATGTGTTTTGTATCTATGCATCCAAACATCCCCTTTTCTTATGAAATAACTGTCAACTATTACAAGGATGATCAAGGGCCTGTAACATCTGCCCTATGAGGAGAGGCTGAGGGAGCTGGGCCTGTTCAGCCTGGAGAAGAGAAGGCTAAGAGGGGCCCTGGGCAGTGTCTAGAAGTACCTCAAGGGAGGCAGTGAGGAGGATGGTGCTGGCCTCTTTTCAGTGGTGGCCACTGAAAGAACTAGAAGAAATGGCCACAAACTGAAACACCAAAAGTTCCACAGGAAAAATTTCTTGACAGAGGGCGACAGAGCACTGGAACAGGTTGCTAAGAGAGGTTGTGGAATCTCCTTCTCTGGCGAGCTTCCAAACCCGCTTGGACACATCCCTGTGCCACGTGCTCTGGGTGACCCTGCATGTGCAGGGGGGTTGGACTAGATGACCTCTAGAGGTCCCTTCCAACCTAAACAATTCTATGGTTCTATGATCAAGAAAAGAGACACTGACTGCTTCATTGCAGTTTCACATGACATTCCATATCACTAAAACTCTTTCACATCAGTACTACCTGAGATCAGGCCTGTCTAGCTGGGTTTTTTGTTTGTTTGTTTTTTGTTTTTTTTTCTAGTTTTCCATGGCTGCAGAATGTCTGTTAATAATAATGATTGAGCTACACGGCATATATGGCATTTCCTGGGAATTAATGATTGGCTGGGCAGCTCCAAAGGCTTAGTGCTCAGCAAAGGACTATTCTTTCCAGCAAGAGACACTCAAGGGTTGTATCAACATTGTCATTATTATTAAAAAAAGTATTCTGGAACATGGTGTTTGCAATTGTTGCGTAAGAAATATCTCTATAAAATTATGATTTTGTACATTGATTCTTCAGATTTATCTCCACTTTAACATTCAGACTAATTTATTATCTTTCTCTCCTAATTTTACTCTTTTTCAGTTTCTCATCTTCTTTAAAAACCTGTAATGATCAGGTCTAATAGCTTATACAGTTAAGCAGAATATCGGACCTATACATACATACATACATCTACAGAGTATCCTGCAGTAAAATATTATTTTTAGTGTTTTATGGGGGGTGCTGCCTTTGAAAAGCTGACCAACCAACATGTTTTGTAAAGGCATGCTAATTTTCAAGAGCACCACATTGACCCAGAAGGATGAACTTTAACACTGAGAATGTTTTCCAGGCCCCTAAAGCCTTGGTTTCACTGCTGGGGCTAGTGAAGGTGCCCAACACTAACAATTTCTGCATATGGATAAGCATGCATACAATGTACTTCCATCTGGTAAAATACAGGCACGTTGAGTTGTTGGTACATGTGCACAGAGAACAGAACTGTATGTTGGCTTTGTAATTAAGGCGATGACAGTTTTAACAGCATTGATGTTTTTGCCTGTAGGGTGCATAGCATACTACATCCTTTGTATCAGGTCTCTAGGTGCTAATATATTATTCTCTGTATTATTTTATTATAACAATGTATTATTGTTATAGCTGAACTGTTTATGTAACTTCCACTGAAATGTGGTTATACATTGGTATGTGATTTCCATGCCTAGTTTCTATGTTTGAGCTACAAGCTTGCTGTTGATCCACATGTAAGAGTTTCAGTGGAATCAGGAGAAAGGGCGGGGCGGGGGGGGGCAGGAAATAATAGGAGTTTTTGCGTAAAGTCTATGCTTGACATTAAGTATTTCACTTAACAAAATGGAATGGATATATGTTTGTGTGAGGACAACTCTATAGGCACAACTCAAAGCATTCATCTTCACAATTGTTCCAAAGGCAAATTGCATTAGTTACAGGATACAACTGTAGAAAAGCAGGCAATTAATGCTTACCTTAAAGCAATGCTAATAAGAAAACTCCTAAAAGCAGAAAGCCTTAGTGGTAAATTGTGAAATCTTAAGTGCTTCTGGACAGTTCATAATGACAGCTGAAATCAATAACATTTTTTGATTGACTCCAGTGCAAAAAGATTTACAAAAATGACATAATGAACCAACTTGTACATCAATACTGTGTGAAAGTTTTGTATTTCCACTGTTCTACTTAATGTTTTTGTATTTAGATAATGTATGCAAGTGTTTTTACAACTATGTGCTCTGCAGCCACTAACATACTCTTTAGCAGGCCCAGAACTGCAATGCATGTTAAATATTTGAGACATGATCCAGATAAAATAACCTTACTGCTAATAGGACTAAGAGGCACAACTGGAGTAACTTATGATTAACTAGGCTTACAATATATGGCTTATGGGTTCCGTGAAGAGATTCAAAGCCTTCTGGTGTCATAAGAAATGTTTTCTTCAAGGAGCTTTAAATCAAGCTCCTCCATTCCCTAGTGCTGGGTTTTCTTTCTGAGTATATTCCACTTAGGGCCAGATTTTATTCTCATGGAGTAGAAGCCAGCAGATAGCAGAATCTAGCCTAAATCCTTTAGGCTTTGCAGTGGTGGGAGAATTCTTAAGGAAAATACCATGATCTCAGCAAAACAAGAAACTTGTACTATAGCTAGTCAGGATTAAGAGCCCATAAAATAAATCATTTCATGATGTTATTATTTCAGCACATGCATAGTACTAATCATGCAAAATATTTAAGCAGCTTTTTAGCAGTGAAATCAACAGAGAGGCTTGCATAATCTGATGTGCCTGACAGGACTGGACCTTAAATGTCTCCAGATGCAGTAAGAAGTATGGAACAGATTCATTTTGTGCAGTATTTCAAGCACAAGCTGCATCACAAAGTGTTAAATAATAAATAATAGCAGCAAGAAGTATACACAAGGGAGGAATGAAATGATTTCAGAGGAGAATTGAAAGGGGATGTTGATGAGGTGGAGGTTTTAAGAATTAAATATTAAAAACAAAGAGGCTGCCTTTGGCCAGGACTGATTGTTTCTCCTGCTGAGAAATCAGGGGCCTTTCTTACCTCCCTCCTGGACAAGGATGCCTGGCTTACTGTCGCACCATTCAGTAGAATCATCACTATACTTGGAGTCTATTTTTAAGGGAAGGCAAAGGATCACAATTAGCTAACTACAGCCCTCTCCGATTCCAGACGTCTGCTTTGTCCTCTGCCTCACCTTTCTGGTGATTTACTGCTCATCCTCCCTGTGTGAAGTTGGCCAAAGTTACCGAAGCGCAGCAGCAGCAGCAGCAGCAGCAGCAGAGCCCCCTGCAAGCACAGATGGAGGGAGGAGGGTCAGGCCGCTGTGGATGGCGAGCCTGGTGCCCCAGCACACGAGCCCTGATCCCTTGGGGACAGCAGTGCCTGCAAGGCCACAGCGGGACTATCCACACATGTCCCTGGGGGAAAGGGAAAGGGCCTTAAGCACCAGCCCACGCTGCTAAATCACGCCATAATGGGCTTATTTCCTACATTTGGTGGCAGCATAGTATTCGGGATAATATTATCACTACTTGCGCAGGTTACTGCCAAGGCAAAAGATGGAGACGAGAGAGTTAAGCAGTGGGGATGGGGAGCGAATCACTAAAAAGTCTTTCCCAGAGTCAGACCTCCGTTCGGGGGGAAGTTGTTTTAATTCTGCG